TTATTATTCACTTTTTTTTTGTTTTATTAAAGAATGATATTAGGCAATTTTTCCTACAAATGTACTGACTTCTAAATGATATTATTATTATTGTTATTATTGACATTTTCATCAATTTTACTTGCAAACAAATCTTTCGTTCCATGCACATTCCAATATTTCCACTCAATTGTTGACAGTTAAATTAACCATCATCGTGACCTAATCAATCTTTCATCTTTCTTCATTCCATTCTTTCTAATTCAATCAACACTTCTGAAATGGTATATTTTCTTTTGTCATTACTATTATTCGAGAATACTCCATTACTATTATTCGAGAATATTCCATTCTTTTTATAACCTCTTTCTCTCATTCTATTTTTAATTTTTTTTTTTTTTGCTTTACATTTATGTCGTTATGTGATAAGCCAATTTTTAAGAGATTATTTCTAATTTAACGGAAAAAGTATTTTATGGTTCAAATTAAAATACGAAATTTGTTATATTATTACTGTTATCTATTATTATTATTATTATTATTATTGCTAATTATTATTATTATCTATTATTATTAGTTATTATTTTTATTAATTATTATTACTATTACTACTATCGCTATTTATTAATTGTTAGTACTATTACTACTATATTTAGGGATTGTCATCAATTTTGATGAAGTTTATATTCGTACAATAATGCCACAGTAATGTCACATTACTTGCATCTCTCTCCATTCAGCAATAATATGAAATATACGTTTGCAATCGGTCCAGCAATGTTTTACAACTTTCTAATTAAAATTAATAGATTCATTGATTTTTTACCGTAACATATTTTGCCGATCTTGACATTACCACCAATTATTACATCTTCTCATTTAAAATTCTTCCATTGCAATAAACAAAATAGGTTGCAAATATTTGACAATAATTCATTTTTTTTTTTCAATTAGCTGTATTTGCGCGAATAAATTTTACATACGACTATCATTTAACAACAGTAATATAATTTAATTGAAATTAAAACTAACTAATTTTTCATGCGCTTTTTTTCGTTGAGATAGTGAAAATTTGTTGAAATGAAGTTTACCAATTTGTTGTTAGGTAGTGAAGAAAGAGATACTGTTGACAAAATTTTCATCGGTGAATGTCCGAATCACAAACAAGTTCAGCATCAGCATCAACAATTTTGAGTGTTTCAAGCGATTTACCACTGGATGATGCGGTATCAGTGCAAACAACGGAAACTACAAATTCACTTCAAAAAACAAAAATAAATTATGAAAATTTCTGCTTGAAAAATGATGCTATCACTAATATAGCATCAGATTTAATTCGGCAAGATGAAAAGGTTAAATTTCCTGCAGAGGTGCAGGAGCAACAATCAAATGGTTATTTGGAGGTGGAAAAATTGGTGCAAAATATGAATGAAGATGATGTTCAGCATATTGCAATAGCATATCCGATGAATAGTGCAAAAGGTGATGAAAATGAAAATGAAGAAAAACAAAAGGTTATAATGGTAGGAGGAGAGTCGGATAAGAGAAAAGCGGAAGTTGTAGAGAGCGAAATGCGAGATGATGATGATGATGATGATGATAATAAGATGTGGATGACCCCGGTGAATTCGTCAGTTATTGGAAATGTTAAAATTAAAGTTGAAAATGATGAAGCGGTATGTGAAGAGAGTTTGAAAATTGTTGAGGAAGAAAAGAAAGCAACAAATTTGACAAATATAAGAGATGAAAGGCAGCATAGCTTTTATGATAGCTCTCGAGAAGCGACTAATTCTGAGATGATAAAAAATGCTGAAAATGTTGACTTAATGAAAAGTGCAAGCTTAGAATCCTATGCTAATCGAGCTATATCAAAAAGTCCGGAACATCGATGTATACGAACAACATCAGAAAGTCCTCCGAGTGCTACAGATAGTTGGAAAAATGCTACAATTAATACGAATAATTTCATTGATATTGGTACTCGAAGTGGTGATACACAAGCAGCTAACAATACTACGACACTTCAAAATCATCAAACCAAAATTATTTATAATAACAAGACACTGAGTGAGTTAATTTTAATCAAATTGAAATAAAAATTTTTCAATTAGTTCTTTAAATATCTTAATTTAATATACTATATTATGCCAAGTTTTTTTTTTTAAAATTATTTCAATTCAATTTACATATATACTTGTATAGGATATTATCATTTATTCAAAAATGATAACATTAATAATGATATTATCGGTAAAAGTATAAATAGAATGCTGATATTGATGATATTTTGTTAGCACACAGTACTGATATCGTTCGTATGATAACAATTATACATAAAATCAAAATTGCTAAATCAAATTAATTCATGTATAATTTCATATATTTTCATTAACAAAAACTTTTTTTTTAAATTAATATTAATTATTTGCACCATCTTTTACTTACTACTCATACTGTAAAAGTGTGTCAATTTTGTTTTTGCATTTAAATCTAATTGAAATTTGCTTATATTTTAGTTTGCTTTTTTTTTAACCGCATAATTTCTCATACCCTCATATTTATTTAAATTTTAAACTTTCATCTCTTCTTTTTTTCTGCAACATTTTTCACTCATTCATACAATTTATTTCAATTTTAAACTCTCCTTTTTTTTAAAAGAAAGAAGAAAAAAGGAATTTTATATTAAATTATTCTTGAAAAATTGAAGAATATAATAGTTCATATGAAGTATGATGTCACTCATTTCAAAGTTATTTGATTTACAGATTTGGGTGAAGTAATTCATCATCATCCATTATTTGTAAAGAATACATCGAAATACTGGTACAAACCAACAATATCAAGAGAAGAAGGTT